AACAATCATTGAATATGCATTCTTTCCAAATGTACATAGACCATTCAACAAGACAGACCACATTTTAGGCTACGAAATAAATCGTAACAAATTTGAGAAGACTGAAATCATACAAAGTATATTCTCTGACCCAGTAAAATGAAGCTAGGAATCAAGAGCAGAAAGAAAATAGAAAAATCCACACATAGGTGGAAATTAATAAAACCTCATTTTTAAACAATCAATGAGTTAAAGAAGAAATAGCAAGGGAATTTAAAAAATATCTGAAGACAAATAAAAAAATATAGCATATCAAAGTTGTGAAATAAGGTGAAAGCAGTACTAAGAAGGACGTTTATAATGGTAAACACATTATAAAATAAGAAAGATTTCAAACAAACAACCAAATTTTACACCTCAACAAACTTGAAAAAGGAGAATAAAATAAAGTAAAAGTTAGGGGAAAGAAGGAAATAATAAAGGTTAGAGTAGAGAAAAGTGAAATGGAGAAAAGGGAAACAAATTTAAAAACATCAAAACAAACATAAAAAACAAAACAAAATTACCTAACTAAAATGGAAAAAATAATAGATACTTTTTAAAAGATAACATGTAGATGGCAAGCAAGCATATGAAAGATGCCTAACATCACTAACCATAAGAGAAATGCAAATAAAAATCATGATACACTATTACTTTATACCTATTAGCATGGCTACTATCAACAGAAAATAATAAAGTTTGGAGAAGATTCAGAGAAATTGGAACACTTCTTCACTGTTTGTTGGAATATAAAGTGGTGCATCTGCTGTGAAAACCAGTATTGGGAGATTCTTCAAACAATTACAAGTACAATTGTACATTACCCAGCACTTCTGGATATATATCTGAAACATTTGAAAGCAACATCTCAAAGAGATATTTGTACACTCATGTTTATTGTACCATCATTCAGCATAGCCAAAGCTTAGAAGTATCCCAAATATCCACTGATACACAAATGAATAAGGTGTGGTGTGTACACACAATAGAATATTATTGGAGTCTTAAAAAAGAAGGAAATACTATCACGTACTACAACGTGGATGAAATTTAAGGACATTATGCTAAGTGGAATAATCCTGTTACAAAATGATATATATTCAATAATTTCACTCATATGAAGTAATTATAATAATAGAACAAGAGGTTAGAAAAGTGTTAGCCAAGGGCTGGTGCGTGTGCGTGTGTGTGTGTGTGTGTGTGTGTGTGTAGGCCAGTGTTTAATGAGTACAGTTTCAGTTTTGTAAGATCAAAAATGCTATAGATATGGTGCACACCAATGTGAATATACTTAACACTAATGAACTATATACTTCAAAAATGAGTAAGATAGAAACTTTATTATATGTTTTTTTACCACAATAAAAAGAAACAAAGGTAAAAACAAAATGTCTAAAAAATACAAATTTCACTTTAAGGAGCTAAAAGAGGGTATCAAAAGATGCAATGAATGTTTAAATAGAAAAACTTACTACATTTTACTTGTATTTAATCTTTCTAATCCTTTACTGTGACACTGTTCCACTATGACCTGATCACCATAGAATATTAACAATCTAGAATCTTCTACATTAGAAGATTAATAGTCCAGAAACTTCTATATTAGATTAACAGTCTAGAATCTTCTATTTTAGAAGATTAACTTTCAAGAGTCTTCTAATTTAGAAGATGAATGACTGTGGATGAGATTATAGTCTAGAACTTTTCAAAAACCACTGTGGTGTGAGATAACAGTTCTTTGACAAGTTGAACAAAGAGGAATGAAATTCTGATTTTACAAATTCTAAAATCTTAATCTGATTTATAATACAATACTTCCTCAGGCAAGATCTGACCCCTTAAAAATGCATATGCAAACCTTAAGCATCTTTAGTTGTTGTTTTCTTCATTGGTTGAAAATATAAATGCATACTCAGAAGTGATTCAAGGAGTCTGAATCTGAGTCACAAAACCACACAAAAGGAGGTCTCTACCTTTCTCCGAGTTTCCTGTTTATTTTTGCTGACATTAAACACCATCCTGGTGGGAATGAGAAATGAAGCACAAATCATTAGGTCTTAGTGACCAACCTTCTAGGCCTCAACAGGTCCTGTCCTTCTGGCCACACTTCCCCTGCTAATCAGGTTCCCATCCTCTCAGTGAGCTGTAAGGATGAGAAAGATCACAGCAGCAGCCCTGGCAGGCAGCTCCTAGGGATGTCACTTGACAGCCATTGTCTTGGTCATGAGGTCAGTGCTGCACTTATTTTTGGTGAGAAAACAGTGATCAGGGACCATAAGCAGCTTTCCCAAGAGCTTGCAGTTGGTGGGTGGTAGAGCCAGGGCAAATGCTGACCCTGGGCTGCCAGGGTCCACTGCCCTGTGCAGTTGTAACACAGAGAGTTTGAGAAGCAACTGAGAGCCAGGTAAAAGCTAGGCCCTTAGTAGATGAGGACATGTGATGTCACAGCAATCTTTGGTTTTTGTGCTCTTAATTTTAAAAGTAAGGAAACCAAAGACCAGTGTTACTGAGTTGCTTAAAGCCACAGTGGGAGCTGTATTCATATCTAGACCTCTATTTACCATGTCTGGTTTCTCTCCACCATTTCACTTGTCTGTGCAGCCAAACCACCCTCCCTCCCCTGAGGCCATCAGGCAAGGACAGGTTTTGCAGAGACTTGAAATGCCCAAGCCTTTTAGTCAGTGCCAGCCTTCAATCCATTCCCTGACCACAGTCCATCAGTGGAGGAAACCCCAATACTAATGGCTGCTCTGAAACAAGTTGTTCTGTGTTTTTATTGTCATGCATTCAGTTATTTTTCATTTTTGATACATATACTGATCTTTTAAGAATATGCTTCCTCAGGCTGGGGATTTAGCTCATTGGTTTCGCTGCCCGCTGCGCAAGCGCAAGGACCCAAGTTCGATCTCTGGTACCAAAAAAAAAAAAAAAATAAAAAAAATAAATAAAGAATATGCTTCCTCATTTGCTTTATGGGAACAATTAATATACTTGCAATAAGAAGACAACGTTTTTCTCCTGGAGAGCCCAGGGGTCTGTGCTCAGAATGGAGCTCTCACAAGTTAGTGTTTCAGAGCTTCCCAGAGCAGAGTGCCAAGTTCAGGCTGCTCTTCTTCCCAGCAGTAGCGATGTGGACCCACTGCTCAACTTCAGTGAGGCCTGGTCTTTGTTCAGCAGGCACAATGATATTGTCCTAGAAGGATTGCTATTGTAATTTAATTAGATAGCAGGTGGCACATAGTATGGGTTCAACAAATAATTCCATAATTTATGTAACTTCCATAATTATGTAACATAAATTGTCAATTTAGATCTGCAGTTGGTTAGCCTATTATGATTGAAGAACAAAATCAGAAATTTAGGTCTAAGAATACGAAGTAAACACTCAAGCAATGGTCCCCTCTCCTTGCTGTTTGTTCTATGGCTTTAGGTTTTCACTGCTTACAAATAGGACAGAGAGGTGATCTTAGGGTTAGCAGTCCTAGGATGAGATCAGTAAAACTGGAGTTAGAAGAACCAAGTCCAGCCAGAAATGCTTTACTTACTGACACTATAACCTCTTCAAAATCATTTATATTCCCTGTTCTTATTCTCTTATCTGTAAAATTAGGGAAAAATACATTTGGCTTTGTTTGCAGGCAAGAGCTAAACAAATATGCTTAGCTCTTATAGATCCTTCTATTCCCCCTACTCCCTTCACTCATTCTCTAGCAAGGTTGCTGGTGCTCACTGCTTGTATTTCTTCTAATTTCTAATCACCAAGAGGTGCATAAGAACTCCAGGATTCCCATCTTTATACAAGCTAGTATATTATCAGTAAAACGTCTTGACATTTATTTTAAAGAGCTTAGTTATATTCTCTGATGCCATGTGATATGCATCTCATTATGTGATATTATCTTCATTATTTAAATATACTAATATTCTATTTCAGAACTAGTGTCCGTGGATCAGCCATTAGGAGAGTAATTTCTCTGCAGTTATTGAGTTTTTGCATTCAACTTTTCTTTGCTTCAAACCCCTGGAGTTGCCTTTTTACATTATCTAGTGTGAGTGTGTGTGTGTGTGTAAGTGTGGGGGGTTCCCTTTCTTCAGTATTCCATCATTTTCCATTTTGGGCCTTCTGGGAATTGCTCTTAAAGAATACGATTGTAGAACACTGCTGCTATTCTCCGCGTGATGCATTCATCACAATAAATCTATCCAAAGCATTTCATTTGCAGATCTGTACTCCTGAAGCACTAACTAAAATAAGAAACGTTAATTTCTTGCAGACCATTACCAGATGATTTTATATATCTGCCAAGGAAGAATGTGTGTTCCCATGTGAGGAATTTCCACAATAAAATTCTGGCACCACAGCCGAAGAGGATAGTTTTATAGAAACGGAGGAAAACAACAGCAAGTATTTTCCCTGAGGACAGTTTTAGGTACAATTCACCAGTGCTGCTTTGTTATTTCTGTCTTATTTTATGCTTTTGTTTTGAAACATAACGCAATTTTACCTGGACGCACTCCCGGATAATCAGGAATAGCTCAGTATGTTGGCTGGCTCAGCCAAACGCAAGACCTCCAGAAAATCAAAAGCCTCCACCGCCTGCTTCTTCCTCCACCTCTACCGCCAGCAGAGAAAAAAGGGTTAAGGATTATTGGAGAATAGAGGAGAGGGGAGGGAGCCCTGAGGAGGCCCCCGAGGCTTTCATCACCCGCAGCTCGCAGCTCGCAGCTCGAGAGCGCTGAACTGCGTGAGCACGGTGTGGTTCGGAGCAGCGTTGCTGCTGCCGATTTCTGGGACCGCTGCTGCGAAGAGTGGGCGTGGCCTCGGCAGTGGATGCTTCTTAGAAAAGATGCTGGGTGCTTTTCAGTGAGGAGTAGGGCTGTTCGAGACAGGGGAGGGGGGGAGGGAGGGAGAGAGAGAGAGAGAGGGTGAGGGAGAGAGAGAGAGAGGGAGAGGGAGAGGGAGAGAGAGAGAGAGAGGAGGGAGGGAGGAGGGAGATAGACATACAGGGAGAGAGACCTAGAGATACTGAAGACACAGTCAGAGCTGGGAGAGGAACTGAGAACCGGACTCCAGCGCTCAGAGAGCTACTCAAGATCTTTTGGGGGAGCTCAATAAATGTGAATATGAGGTCTATCACCGGAGCTGTCCTCAAGACGCTACTTCTGTTATCTACTCAAAATTGGAACAAAGTGGAAGCTGGCAATTCCTGTAAGTATATGGCAAATGATTTAAAACTTGTGGGGGAAGGGGCTCCTTGCAAAACTTTGATTCTGTTGTTTTGTATGATTATTATTTGCAACTGGAATCGCGACAAAAGCATATTGCTACAAATGAAGCATCACTTAAAAATCTTGCAAATATGACTGGATGTACACTTGGCTCGCCTCTTCATCTGATCAAAGTACGCAAAGTGTTATCTTTCTTTTTGTCTAGGAGCAGAATCTTACTCTCTTCTCTTTGAATATTCATTGAGAATGCTCAAGTTCTAGTAAAACATTAAATTAGCATCTTAACCAGGGAATAGCATGTGAATGTCTTCATTTCTTCTTTTCTTTAGGATTACTGAATTTTATTGGAATTATGTCTAACAGGAACACAACTGTCACACTTTGCATTAATGCTGCATTGGCTTAGATTTCTGAAGTTTGCGATTTGGCAGACTAGAAGCTGACTGCATCATTGAAATGATGCAGGCTAATAACTGAAATGTACTGCAGACTTCCGGAGCAGGAAGAACTGCTAGTGGCAAACCTCAATATTGAGAGCCTTGTCCTTACTGCTTGGAGAAGTCTAGGAGCACTCCCCAAAGAAGGGCCAATTTCTACACTTGGCTTAATGGAAAAACATGCAGGTGCTTGTTTTTTTCAAGAGTACATAGCAGTCTTTAGTGGTTGAATTTCTAACTTCATAAATTTGTGGTTGAATATTCTGATTCTGAGTTCATTGATTCATGGAAGGTTTGTTGCAACCTTATTTCTAATTTGAATATCATCCACAATAATTTGGCAGACTATCTTCATCCACTTGTTTTTAGGGATAGAAAAAGTTTTAAAAGTTATATTTGGCTTAGATTCTCTAAATGGGAGAATTTCCCCTTCCAGAGGGGATGATAAATAAGCTCAACAAATATAACTTTTTATTTCTTCCTCTGATTTTAAAAGAAAAGATCATTTGTTTTCAAGAAAGGGCTGTGAGGCCTGTCCAGGAATTTACGTTGCTGCTTTCTCACCAGGTTTAGGTTTGGGGCAGTAACACCAACAATCAGACATTTACTACAGCACATCATTTGCCTACACTAAAAGGCTAGCACGTGGGAAGAACATTACAAACTCACAGTCTCAATGTCCAGTCACACTTTGTGGCCACTGTGACTTTGTGTTTGCATTTGTAGGAGCTCATTTAATGCCACAGTGCTGCTATCACTCTGCAAGGAGGGAACTTCATTCCAGGTGCTGCATTGTGTTTCAGATTCAATTTTAAATTGGATCTATGGGAATCCCATAAATCTATAAAATTTGCATAACTTCTCCTAGTCAAAATCTTGGAATCCTGCAGTGGTAGCCCCTGACAAACATTGCAACAAGCCAACCAAAACAAAGGACAACAGCAACACAGACACCCACACACAAATGAAGTTTTGAAAAGGCCTAAGTAACTCAACTTCCAACTGCTGAAGTTCAATCAAAAAAGGAAGCACTAGGGGTCACTATTACAATGTGAAGCACATTTCAGCAAGCATCCTTCCCTTAAGAAAAGCAGAGCTTCACTCCGGCCTAATACAGGGTGCCTTTTCAACATCCTGCCTGTAGTTGGGTGTGCAATATGTTACTGTGATTAACTGGATTGCTAGTTGCTTATGTTTGTTTTCTTAAAGCCCAGTGAAAAGGATAACAAGCAGATATAACCTCCTTTTGCAGTATATATTCTTAGGAAAGGAAAGGTGGGCACAGTATTTATGTCTGCTTGGCTCTGGTTGGGCCTCTCTCCGACACTTAAAATTTCAATCCTGGTTCTGCATCCATCCAGCCTTGGTTTCTTTAGAAAGTCATTTAATGCTCTTCTAAACAACTGAATTAATTTGGAGAACCTTTAAAATTTTAAATGATCAGGCATATTTAAATATTAAAATTGGATTCTCGGTTGTCATACTTATATAGAGTTGACTATTCTTCAAATATCAAAAGTGTAATTAAATGACTTCATACAATTAAAGTTGCATTTAGTAATTTCTTGTTAATATTTTGATAAGGGGATTTGCAGTCGTAGATATAAAAGAAAATATTTCACTTTCCAATGTTGATTTTATTCTTTAATCTCATGGAAATATTTGCTTTTTGGAAAGTACACTTGTTGCCAGGTCCTAGTAGAGTGTATCATATATTCTACCTGTTTTGAAAGGACAATTATATATATTTTTGAGCAAGGCTGGGAGTTAGCAAAGGGACAAGCAACCATCAACCAGTAGAAGCCTTTTAAAGTGTTATAATAACTCCAATAATTCTTCTGGACAAGACTCCATGTTAATAAAAAGTGAATCAATTTTGAATTCCAATATTAAAGTCAGAGAGAATGGAATATAAATAAAGAAAATTAAAGGTGTCTCTCTCAGGTGAATAAAAAGATCTTTTCCCTTTATTTACAGCTGATTCACCAGGAGAAAAGCTGTTATCCATTGGATCAGGCCATGGCTACCAACATGAACATTTTCATGGTGGGGGGATGGTTTCTAAACCTGGGATTAGATGTGTTTCAATTTGATTATTAATTGATCTAATTAATTAGTTGGGAAACTTTACATTTGAAAGATTCTGTGCAAATTCACACATACACACACAAATAGGTGTATGTATGTATACAACTATGTACAAACTACCAGACCTATGTGATTGCATACTTTTGGTGACCCTGATAAACACTCATATATCTAAAGAGTGGACCACATTTTTGACAATTGATTTGTGCCCCATTTGACATTTCAAAAGCACTGAACCAGCCCCAAGTTTTTGCTTTTTTTCTGGGCAAGATGAGTTTGTTAGTGCATTGAGGTGCTGATTTCATGAAAGTTTAGAGACAGATCCTTGTAGAAAGACTTGCTCTTTGAGAAGCTACTCTAGCTCTTGTGGGCTTCACTTCCTGTTAAGAAACATAACCCTAAAGCATGGAAGACACATCTCTTTATTTTGTACTTGCTGTTAAGAATCCACAGAATTGACTGGGGATTTAGCTCAGTGGTTTCGCTGCCTGCTGCGCAAGCGCAAGGCCCCGAGTTTGATCCCCAGTACCAAAAAAAAAGTATTCTCAGAGTCTGGACAAGAAGACATTGTTGGGGGAGAGCTCAACTGGTCACAGAAGATGAATAGGTATGAGATATAAGGGTAGTTAGAGTTTTGCTTTTGTTTTTACCCTATAGATCAGGTGATAGAGGTTCTCTGGCCTCAGACAGCCTGAACCTTATGCTGAGAATAATTATATTCACCAAGTAGCTTTCCAATGACTTAATTAAAAGTTAGCTTCTCACTGTGTTCATCTTTTTCTCTAGCTGAAAAAAAAAGGATGTATCTGATATCTTACCTGAAGGAACCATTAAACACCGTGATAAAGTTAGTAATAGGTGAAGGTACTTGCTTGAGTAGATGATCACTCTTAATGGGCCTTTGAGTGTAGCCTGAATGTAACAAGAGAGATCCTCAAATTGGTACAACTCAATCTTGTAATTCTTTCTAGAAACTTCTTTCTTTTTCTTCTCTTCCCATCCCCCCAATTCATTTCTATAGCAAAATAATAGCCAGAATACAATAGTTAAGTTCTGATAAAATCTAATTCTATGATACAATGTATTAACAGCTGACCCTCATATGTGAAGGTTAGAATGCATGTTGACTCACTTTTCTAACAGCAGCCTTGATTTATTTTCACCCATTTGGTGCACTTTCCACACATACTGCAACTGTTAAAGGAAGACTTTGTCTCTGGAATAATATTTCTCATTAGTTAACTTGTCCCAAACATGACTTCCACATGAGACTGAGTGTTTACTTAAGATAGTCATTACTGTGTTCTGAAATTATTTTTGAAATTTACATCACATATAAATAGTTTCTCTACTGGAGCCATCTATGTATCAATATTAAATTGGATTATTCAAGCACAAGAAATTAGTAGAATTGCATACCATCAATTGTAGTATTTAGCTTGGAGTTTGCCAAACTCATGGGCCAAATTTGGCCTGCTGCCTGTTTTTGTATGGTTTATGAACTAAAATTGTCTTTATGTTTTTAACTGAAAAAAATTAAAAGGAGACTTCTTCATGGTAAAAATAATTATTTGAAATTCAAATTTTTGTCATATGTTTTTATATGTAGAACTGTATGAGCAAAATTTGAGCTTATTTATTTTGAATTTTATCAATACAATTTTGTTAAAATTGTTTTCCCTCTTGTTATATAAGTAACTACACACTATTCTTTACTATCTGGTCCTTTATGGAAAAAAGTTCATTGATCTCTGACTTAAGATATGATATAATGATGAGAGACGGATACTGCAAAAAATATATTACTATGATAAAGTTTAATCTTAATTATTTAGCATGTAAGTACACCCTTATGAAGTTGTAGTACTGAAAGAAAGGCTAATGTCAGGAACTATAACAAACAAAACTTTTTAATTAATATTTTCCTCAGATGTTTCTACATAAAGACTAGTTAAAAATCTTATTATTTGAATGTGTAAACATTATTTGTATTTATTCATAAAGTTTCAGCACTTTTTTGCCAAGTGTACATGTTTAATCTAAATAATCCTATTAACATATGTTGTTTAACAATGCATATAATAATTGCATCTTAGATGTTTGGAACAAAATTTGCTGTTATTTTACATTTTCATGAGTGTGAAATACTCCAACCCATCCCAATTAGAAACTTAACGTTTGGAAATCAAATTGATTATGAGGAAAATATTCTTGTCAGAAGAGTGTTATTGCTTCTGTTACTTTTAAAGCAGCTGCTTCCTAAAAATCCTGAAATTGGCAAACTTTCTAGAACAAATTGAAAACTAGATTTTCATTTAAGCATTACCGAGTGAGATTTCACAATAATGAAGCAAGTGCCTTTCCCCTACACATGACAGTGCAATTAACTTGTTTTTAAATTTTTTGTCTATTTGGAATTGTATTTTTGATTTCCAAGAATGAATTATTGGCCTCA